CGCCACTATACCACACTGAGGAGCACTTTCTAACTGAAGTACGGTATACCTACCAAGTTTTATCACCACATGTCAGTCACGGTTTGTCGGCACCGTTTGGAGATATGAACCGTGCGTGGAAAAAGGAGTCTTATCGAACGGCTCAGGATGCATTACTTTACGTCAGCGTTCGCTGGTGGGTGTCAGGCGATTGTCGGTTGAATATTTGTGAAGAAACCGCGCGCCGCGGCCGAGCAAAAGTTGGAAATGAAGTAATTAGGTAGTAGAATCAGCAGATGCCGAAGGCAAAGGAGAGTATCTCCAATATGACAACAAGGTGGGTAGCTAAGGTACAGCTTCTGACATAATCAGAATCTCAACCGCCACTTAATAAAGATTGGATTGATTGCAGATCCCAAGATGGATATGGATCAACATTCGAAGCTGGCATTAAAGGTCGGGTCTCCTGTGTCGCAGTACAGATTGCCACTGTCACTGAGCATGCAACCGATCTCTGACAGTCACAGGGGCATTCTGACTTAATTCGATCGACTCTGCATTGCATTTGATTGCTAGTACTACCTCGTGAAGCCCGATTGACGTTCTGAGCTAGTACATGCATGCTGCAGCAATCTTCCGTCTGACTTTAACACTGTAGTGCCATATTGACCAGTCCGCGACGCTAATTCGGGTGGTCACATCTGATATCCTGAACTTGAAGGCTAGCTAAGATACGGTCAGCCTTGTCAAGGTGCGTCAGGTCCAGCATATAGCATGCAGTACTTTTACCAAAAAGTGGTAACATTAAGTACGGTAGATGAGGTCAGCCGTCTGTCTCATTGATCATCTATTCGTACATATGACAGTGACACCGTTGCGAATCCACTATTCCTGTCAGGCACCTAGAAGACGTGCAGTGGCATCTGCGTCTTCTTATCATGATCAGCAGTCTTGAAGAGTACCGCCTTCGAAGCTTCTAGAAGATTTGTCAACGGCGATTTCCGCCTTCCTCTTTCCTCACATGACAGTCTTTTCCAAATAGTTCACTCCATTGAGGCCCCGTGACTCATGAGGCTCTTGCCTCTCCATTCTCCGGGCGTTTGAAGTATCAAAGCGAGGAACATCGGCCGTCCCGGCCAGATTGTCCATCCAGTGGCATTGGCCATCCAGCAGTCCACGGCTTGAACATCTTGACTGTGCGCTTCATGTGCATGCTCTCTTGTGGATTATTAAAGAGACTGTAGCGCTCCTGCACGGAGCAGGGCCATCCCAGGAGCGGATTCCGCCAGGGCCGCCGTCCTTCACAAAACTGGGGTTGCTGCAGGATCTTCAGCATACTTCCGTAGATGCATCCTGCATTTCCTCCTTTGGCTATACAAGGAGAGCTGAACAAAAAAAAGGATTCAATCTCAGACGTGGTTGCCTTACTGGCGAACGGCTGCTGGCTTCAGAGACTCTATAACTTATCAGCCCTTTGACAATCAATCTGCCGTATGACAGTTCACCTGACAGGCGCAGCAGAATGGACGCACTGCCTTCTGGAAATGCAAAGCGTTGGTCAAATGTTAGGCTCCTTCGCTTGGGTATCATGGTGAGTCTTGTAAGTTTGGATTTTGGCTGTTGCGCTTTCTCCCTAAGAGCAATACACAGGAACCGTGTGATCATGTTAAACAGCTGGTCGTTTGCAAGTTTGTAACTTGAGTACCTACTCAGTTTTCAGCACCTTAGATTGGATGTTGTAAAGGCAGCTGCTAGACGTAACACCAAAGACGTATGCTTCTTTTTCAAGGCTTAGAGCTACTAAGGAGGCGCAATTGCTACATGAGAAGAAATGGAGGCAGCCTTAGAAGTCTGGGTGTTCAAATAGCATAGAGTCAACTTATGCGCAGCTGAAGTTCAATTGTTGTACAAATTACCAATCTTACATAAGCTCTCCAATTGTGGTTCATTGGGACGTCTGCATGGAGTTGCGCTACAGGTCAGAATCCATCGACGGTTTGCCGGTGGTGCTCCAGTTCAAAATCATGAGCTCTCATAGAAGCTCTGCAAAACCGTGTGACTCTGCATAGCTCAGCAATCTGAGTGAGCAATCTGAGTGACCCTGTAGGTGCATGAACACCACTCGAGCCAAACTGAAGCATCGCTAAAATTTCTTCACGCTGCCACATTTCTCCTGATTCAGCCCGGAGCCATTGATTGAGCTTCACTAAAGGCCAAACCCTTGACTTCCAGGGAGTCTCCATTTTCGGGTTCAGTAACACCAAAGCTGAAGAGTCCGATGACTTTCCCCCAGGTTCTGCTGGCAAGTCTGCTGGCCGGTACCACGACCATCACATTCCACTTCACGCGCGCCGCCTCCTCGACCTACCTTTCTAGCCTGGTGCACTCCTACCAAGAAGAGATTCTTCTGCATATTTCCAGCAGCGTCTCTCAGCTGCTGGATGAGGCAGAGCCATGCGGCACAACCTTTGCGCAGTTTCTCGATGTGATTCACAGCCCAGGCCTCAACCTGACAGTGGATCAGAAACAGGATCTCACAGCATCCTCCCTGAGGAAAACGTTCCAGAGCTGCAACACAGTCTCCGGCCTGGGACTCACAACGGAGGAGGGGCCCTACGTGATTGTCAATTCTGTTGACAATGCAACAAGCCCCTATGCTAACACAAGTCTGCTGTGGACCTTTGCAAATCAGACCCTGCCCAAGGGCCAGGCACCCCCACGCTATGTAACGGTGAGCCAATCATTGAAGGAAGCCGGAATCGACATTTGGAAATCTGTATATACAAACAGGTCGTGTTCTTGACCACATTTGAAGCTTGCGAATTATCCCATGCCATATTTCAAGCTTCGAAGGCCTCCGAGCTTTGAAGGGCCGGAGCACTACACTCAGGTCGACTTGTGGCAGTAGTCCAGTTGAGCCTCACACGCATCGAGCCGACGCTGGGCATCCTCCACCTCTTTTGTTCGTGACTTAGCACAAAATCATCACTTTTTCGTGTAGTTGGGACCTCCCATCTAATTATGCACAAAATCAATGTTCTTAGGTAACCTAGCAACAGTGTCCATCTCTTCAGACAGATTTGTTCACACCTTCTCCGATCGAACTCTGGGGCGCTTCCGAGACTCTTCGCATCACAAAGTGGTCAGTGTGTTTGCAATTGACTTTCAATTCTCTTGCAAGACCTGATAAGACTTTCCGCGCTTAGAGAAACGCACTCGCAGTCATCAATCTCGTACTCAACTCTTTGTCTGTGCAGTATGTGTCTCGAGCTGACGGAAGCTTTGTTGCCAACGTCGCTCCTGACGTCCCTGTCGACATCCGCAACCGGCCTTTCTACCGAACCGCATTGAATAGCCCCGATGGACTAGCGGTCCAAATACTCGTCGGGGCAACACGGCACCCTCTTCTGGTCGTTGCCAACCGTTACATGCTGCCTGGATCGAACAAGGTTCTCGGGGTTATTTCCAGTGCGCTGTATCTGACAGCCATCGAAGACTTCGTCGAGGGGCTCGATCTCAAAGGGGGCGACATGTTCGTTCTAAACGGGACAACGCTCGTAGCAGATTCGGTGCACGACTACCGCCAGGCCAATCAGTCAGGAACACCGACTCTGCTTCACGCAAGCCAGTCGAGTAGCCCCCTCATCAGGGGAGCATTTGCGCTCCTCTCGACGCAGTTGACTGACTGTGATATAGGCCCGATACAAGCACGCCTTCAGGGGGGGCGCTATAGCATCGCGTGTAAGGATATAGCTTATACCGGGCTTTCGCTCAAGCTGGTCACGATTCTTCCAAGGAAGGCCGTCTACGGGAAGCTCGATACGCAGCAGCGGTATGCCACGTTCATCATCAGCTCAGTGACAGCTGGCATTTGTGGGCTGGGTTTCCTGGCTATCATATACCTGACAGACCCTATAAGTAAGGCTATGCGATTGAAGGCGGAGCTGCTTCAGAGTTTCGAGGCGAAGCGGCAAGCCGAGGCGAGGGAAGAGTTTAAGACCAACTTCTTTGCGAAAACTAGGTGAGCAGACTCTGCCCTTCTCGCTCAATCTGAAAAGCCATCAGCAGGTGGAAAAGGTACTCCGGACGTCATTAGACGAGCTGGAATTGTCCTAGAGTTGACGTCCTGAACCTAGTAGGATCATTGCATGAACAGAGTTCCGCGGGCCCTGATTTGAGGTGCGCTTTGAAAGTTGCTTCAAGTCAAGCAAATGCCTGCTGTTTGCCAAACCGAAAGATCGGTTAGTTCACCGTTCTTTGAGCCTCCTCAGGGAGCCTGCCACGTCAGCCAAGCTTCCGTAGGCAGCCTATTTCCGCAATCTTGCTCACGGGTTTCGAATTTGCACGCAACTATACCTGCAGAATTGAGCTTCCTGGATCGACAAGCGGAGAAGCCTGTTTGTCCTTCAATCGCGCGAAGCGAACGGATCATCCAAGCCTTCAGAATTGAGACTAAGGGAAAATATACTATTTGCAGTCACGATCTACGAACTCCCTTGGCCGCGATGCTGGGCATACTGGACATCATTCAGGAGTCAGGTCTGGAAGCGGAGCAGTCGGTCCGGGTGGCTCAGGTCAAGGAGTGTACCGTCGGTCTCCTGAACCTGCTAAACGATATACTGGATTTCAGCAAGGTACGGAAGCCTTTTTCTCCCAGATTCCAAACAATCTTTGATCGAAAACAGGACAGACTTGGTTTGAGCGTGTGGGTGCTCTGAACTTACATTCTCAAGTGCACGATATCCAGTGAATCTTATCCGATTCCGAGTTGACGATGTATTGATAGATTTGACAGTTGCTGATGTAAATCGCACCGCACGGATTGAAGAGCTGTTTCTCCTCCAGTCCCGACAGCTAGAAGCCGCCTTTCCTGAGCCACGAGTCGCCTCCTGTATCTTTTCCCTCTCAAGAGCTCAAAACGTCCGCAGTGCGACCGGTTCTTCCCGGACAGGTCTCGGAAGTGACACTTGGTCGGACTACCTGCCTGCGGGGCCACTTGACAGCGTACTTTGCAACTAGATATGCGGCGTTTCTGATCTCCGTCGCTTCCTATTTTGAATCACGTGCAGATTCAAGCAGGGCAGCTGCAGCTGGAGACCGTGGAGTTCGACCTGGGCGCTCTGCTGGAGTCTTTGGTGGACGTGTTTACAGTACAGTGCACTATGAAGGGTGTCGAACTCGGACTGGACATGCCAGGTATGTGCCTTTCCCAGTTAGGCAACTTTGATTGAGCCGAGGAACTTTGTCATCTCCTCGCCTGGTGTGGTCCGTGATTTCCAAAGCGTGAACTGTACTTATACTTTTCCTGCGCTGCGAAAGTAAATCAGGCAATTTTAAGGAGCTTTGTCCGCTTAAGCTGCACGACAGGTTGCTAGGATGTTCGTTGGATACGATCCTCCGCATGCTGGCAGCTTGAGATTTTAGAGGCTCTGAACCTCATGTGAGGTTACGACGTGTCAGTTTTTTTAGAGATTGTAATCAACTTTCATAGAAGGACTGGGAGAACTGGGAAGGAAAGGCTTGAGAAGGTCAAGGATGCTCACGCAGATACCAGTATTTGAGTAATATAGAACGTTCAGGAGGTGTTTACGAGGTCGATTAAGTTTGCCTTATAGGAGAAATTCATCACAGCAAATCTTCAGGAGGGAAATGAAGATTCTGCTGTCGTTTTTTGCAGAGCTGCCCCCGCTAGTTCGTGGCGACCCGACGCGCTGTCGCCAGATCTTCATGAACCTTCTCAGCAACAGCATCAAGTTCACAAAGGTAAGATACCCTTCTTCAGCTCCATACTACGTATGCAGAGGTTAACCATGTACACGTCACTCTGCAGAATCATGAAGCATTTTGCGCAGGCTGCTGGTCTCATGTCCCGCCCTTGCAGACTATGTGAAGACACACCCCTGAGTCCTGAGATTCTAAAGATACTAAAGATTTGGTCTTAGAAATTTCACAGCGTCGCTTCAAGCGGCCGCTGCCTCTTCGGTTCAGATAGATTGCATTAGGAAGTGAAGAACATTTTTCAGTTTTAGAATAGCTCCAAATACGTCGCTGTAGAAAGCAGTTACGGTAGGATGTAATCTCAGAATAAGAGCGGCTCAAAGCACACTCTCAGGATTGAGCACAACGAAAGGTTTTGAAGGCTGGAAAAGTTGCGAATCTTTGGAGTAGTTATGTACCTTCACTGCACATAGAGCGGCTCAGTGCATTCCCTCAAGAGCAAACGTCCCCAATCCTGACCATCGGCTCTGTCGTCACGCTCAAAAATACTTTTAGGCAGCAACTCAAAATCTGCTCCATGAAATTCTTCTCTGCAGATTCTCAAGAGCATGGCAGAAACGTGCTGCTTCTTGAACTTTTGACACCCTGCATCTCGCGTCTCTTCGGTTTCTTCACGTCACTTCATGTCATTCGCGAATAAGCTGTTTTCAAACGCATCTGTCGCCTGTTTCTGGCAGGAGGGCTACATCCTGATCCGGTGCTACTTGGAAAACGACAATCAGAGCCCTCGCGACTCTCCTCTCTGGTCCAGCTCGGGGCGAAACCCCTCCCAGTCTTTAACCTCCCCACCAACAGTGAGCCCACTGGTTCGTCTGCGGTTCGAACTCGAGGACTCCGGATGCGGCATTCCGCCGGACAAGCGCGCCGTCGTGTTCCAGGACTACGCCCAGGCGGAACTGTCCACCACGCGCGAGCACGGGGGAACCGGGCTGGGCCTCGGAATCGTACGAACCCTCGTCGAAATGATGGGGGGTTCGATCGCGATCGGCGACAAGACCGGCCCCGGGACGCTCTTCCGCTTCGACCTCGCCTTCGCGGCCGCGCGGCCGCCCCCGCTGTCGCCATTGAAACCCCCGGGGGATCCCCCCGTGCACTTCAACGTAGTGCTCGGCATCTCGAGCTTTCTCACCCGGTCGCTCTCGGCGGCCTCCATGCGGCGGCACGGCGCGACGGTGGTGGAGGCGCTGTGCTGGCGTGACGTCATCGAGGCGCTGGGCAGCCTCGCGGAGCATTCGCGCGGCCCGGGGCTGGCCGCCGGGCGCGCGCTCGCGCAGAATTGGGCGTACGGCGACGCACACCAGCCGGGCGCGGTTCCGGTTCCGGCGATCAGAGTCCGGCGCGCGCAGTCTATGCTGTTCCGCCGGTTTCCCTCGATGACGACCAGAAAAGCGCACGCGCCGGCGGTAGTGGACCTCGAAGCCGGACGAAGCGTGCGGAGCAAGGATAGGTTCTCCGCGCCGGGGGGGGTCTTGGCGGGCGTGGAGCTACCCCCCAGGCCGCGGTCGCCACCTGCTGCCCCGAACAGCAAGGTTGTCGACTGTGCGATCCTGGCGTTCTCCCTGCTTCCCAAGGACCTGACCATGAAGGAGTTGGAAGGATATCTGGCGCAGGTTCATCACGTCCTTGGGAACTCAGGTATGCAGCTAACCCTGTTCCTGTCGTAGAGTTGAAAAGCATTCTTTGTGAGATTGCGACGGTTTCCGAGCGCTTCGGGTGGATTCTACATGATCAGCTGCTTCAAGCAGCGGTGCCCTTCAGAGTCGTAGAATTAGTGTTCACACTTGGGCCTCGGAAATGGGCCACGCTTTAAGACAGCGGCGCGTCAGATCTTACTCAGAAGTCGAATGGGATCTGAATCTGGAGCATAGTTCTACTACAACGTCTCCGTTCCTGCCTCAATAACTGCAGCCCAAAGCTATGTAAACAGCGCTTAATGTTTCTGACACAGCAAAAGACTCACAACTTGCCCGCGGAACAACCTCAAATCGTTTCGTGCGGACGGCTGACATCGTTCTAACACCCTCGGCAATTGCTCGTATTTCCTTTTCAGAGTCCTTTGATGCATCTCATCAGATCAAGCGTGTTGATTGATTTACCACGCCCTCTGTATCTGCATCACTCTATTATTTGGCGCTTCTGTTTCCACCGTTTTGAATCTTAATGGCATGACACGCCACGGGCCCACCACGTGGTATCTGTTGAGGCGACCAGTCGGCTGTGCTGCGGGCCTCTGAGTTCCTAAGCATTCCGGGTTTGCGTTTTAGTGTTTATGGTCAGCATCCCGTGACTCACCCAACTACCTCCTTCTTTGAGCAGGAATTCAAGGCGGGGCGCACCTGCCGGTCGCATGGGTGGTCAAGGCTTCCACGCCCGTCTGCGTTTGGGACACGCTGCGAAAGGCGGGCTTCTCGACGATCGCCACCAAACCGCTGTACGAATCCAAGCTGCAGCGCCTGCTGCACACGATGGCCGGAACGGAACCAGGCCCAGCGACGATACCGGAATCCCCCGAGCCGCTCGGCAGCCCGGGGGAGAGCTTCAGGCAGGGAGACAAGCCGGGGGCCGAGCCGTCGGGGCATTCCGTTGCACGGGACGGCGGAGAGGGCGCGGAATGGGCGGAACGTCGAGGCGCGCGCGCGGGGGCCGAGCCGTCGGGGAGTTCCGTTGCAGGGGACGACGGACAGGGCGCGGAATGGGCGGAACGTCGAGGCGCGCGCGCGCGCGCGGGCCGAGAGGCACTGGGACCGGTGGAGGAACCGGAAGTCGAACGGAGTGACGGAGCAGCGGTTTTGAGCGTCCCCTCGAAGAAAGAAACGGAGGGTTTGAGCCTCCCTTTGAAAGGACGAACCGTTTTGATCGCCGAAGATAATGACCTTCTGCGGAAGCTTGCAGTCCAGGCGATGGTGAGATTGGGCGCGCGCGCCGTCGCGGTCGAGAATGGGCGCCTGGCCGTGGACGAGATCGAGCGGCGGGCCGCGGCCGGCGAGGGGAGGTTCGACTTCGTGCTTATGGATTTCATGGTGAGACACCTGTACAATCGGCTGCCTGATGCTGGTTCGTGTTTGGTTCTTCCTTCAGACGGTGCGTGCTTCAGATGTCTGGTTGAAAATCGCAGCCAGCCTGCGGGGAGTCTCGAGCGCCACTCAAAAGAGCGGAGACTTTCGCACAGTCAACGCTACAGGCTGTCTTTGGTCAATCACAGAATCAATCCGAGGGATTTTAGGTTGTTATGCCCTAGATTATTGATGGTCCAACGACAATTCCGAAGTACTCTCGGAGAAGCTGGAGCCTGCTTTAGAAGGATCTTTCATTCACGGTTCTGGAATCTGCTACTGGAAGATGGACCAAAGCCAGCACTCTTTCCTCAAATTCAATAGCCACAGGTGAGGTTTATCCGCTCTGTGTTCTGGCGAGAAATCTCGTTGAATTTGAAAGAAGCAAGCTTCCAACCGGCTTGCTGTGAGAAGACGTACTTCAGACAGACTCAGCCACTCAAATTGAGCAATGCCGACGTCGATCTTCCTCCGGCCTTTGCCGTTCATGGTGCAAGCCATCCGGAAGCTAAAGATCTCGTCAACCGTCGATTTTAGATGCCCGTCATGGACGGTCTTGCGGCGACGCGACTGGTGCGCGACCTCGAGCGCGCGCGCGGGATGGGGGACCACGTGGTCATCGTCGCGCTCACGGCGGGCGCGTCGTGGGACGACCAGCGCGCGTGCATCGAAGCGGGGATGGATGTGTACCTCACGAAGCCCATTGATACATCCATGCTCCTTGGGAAAGTGCTGCCGCTACTAGGGGGAGAAAGCTCGCGTGTACAGATTGAGCACTGATTATAGGAACTTGATTGCTCTAGACGGAAAGCGTCTGAAAGCGAAGTTGCGCGCAACGCTCGGAAATGTACAAGTAAGGTTGAGTTAGCTGCGGTTTGCTGCGGAATGCAGAGCGCACAAATATAGCGAGACGGTCTTGGTGTCACTCAAATCGATTGAGTGACAAATCGATTGAACAGCCCGCCACGCGTTGATCCGCCACCTATCCTAAATTTGATTCTGAGTAGGAGTAGGTACATATAGGAACAGATTGAAGTGTTGAACCAGCAGACTCTTGTCCTCAGTCTGAAACAGTCCAATCTTGCTAGCGGGCTCGAATGAAAACGGTCCGGGCAGAAAGTTGGTGTATGGTAGCCTGACTCAGCTGCAATCCGACTCGACGACCGCAAAGCCATGAAATTGCACGTTTGATATGAACATCCTTTGTTCGGAACACTCTTTTTTTAATTCACGGCACAACTTTGAGAATATGCGAACCGTCAATATCTTCCATATCCTTGAACGCGGGCGGCAGTTTGCACTGAGCCTGTGACAGTCACACAGCAACCATTGAATTGACGGACTCGTACTTTCGAAGCAAGAGCGACGCATCGAAGCCATAAGCCGCTAACCTTTTATCGTGCATTCATTGAACTCAAACACGCCGCGCGTAATTAATTGCAAGATGAACTTCTTCACTATTGACGAGCTCTAACGGTTTAACGAGGCAGGTCACCAGCCCCATTTATTGCACGGGTAATGAAGTATGTGCAAACGTTTGGATTTCTGTTCACTCCCGCGAAGGTTGTGATATAAAGTGATCTCGTGCACGTACGCACGTGTCAAACCATCCAAACTTCAGCAGGTTATGAGATCTGTTGCGCAACTGGCCAAGGTCGCACTAGCTTTCGCAGATCATCAAAAGGTCGCTCGAGAATCAGTCCTTTGATCTAAAATCGTTAATGAGACGGGTGCTTGACATCTTTAGGAATGATTACACATTACCTCTGAGTACCAATTTATGGAAAAGAATCACCAGTATCTTACTCCGTCTTGTAAACAGGCTAGTAAGCAATGTCTATGCAACTATCCCAATACCTGTAGTTTACAAAACACGGTGAAGCACTGGTCTATTGGTCCCGCCGCCCAGGAACGAACTCGCATGTAAAAGCTACGAAGCGCTGGTGGCTAAAGCGGATGATGAGCCACCAGCATGCTTTGACTGTTCTCGCTCAATTGATCTCCTTGTTGCTTCAGCGAATGATCAACCGACTACTCAAGCGCAGATCTCCCTTCTTGGAATGTTTCAGTGCGCCAGCTGGCACAAAAGGTTCAATGGATCTCGATCACACTCAAATTAACAACGATGCAACCTATGAAAGCTATGTACTGTGCTCATGAGAACAACTGGAGTGCCCTTTGGATTGTATTGCAAGCTAGCTTCAACCTTCGACGGCATCCGCTTTAACACGAGTCGGTTCCCGAAGCCCGCCTCCCAACTCAAGGAGAGCTGGTTGCCTTTGGCGCCCTGAACGCTTCCAGGATCCGCAGGCGGGCGCCAATTGCCTGCACGCCCGCCTCCTTGAGTTGCTCAGGCGTCATGGTGGACAGAATGTCGACCGTCACCTCTGCCTGAGAGACGCGAATCCGAGAAGGAAGTCAGCACTGGCGGCAGCGTGCCTCAAAGCGGTTTCGCCGCTTGCTGAACAGACCAAGTGTTAAGTCAATCTGTTCGACGGCTGCTAGAACCGAGCTGTAAGCAATATTTCAACGAGGAAAGCATGCTTGTGAATTCATAGCTTCGAGCTTCCTAGTCCGCTTCCAAAATCTGGGTTTCACGATTTTATTTACTGTTCTGCAGAACCTTAAACGGCGTTCAAGGAACCGGAGAGAACTCAAAGACCCTAAAGTCGGACGAGTCCTGCCCTCTCAACTAACACCACTAAGAGTTGCGTACGTTACGAGATGTGAGGTTGCTGCCAAGCGTTGAGGGGGCCTTTTCAAACCGCCAATCTACGACAGCCACTCGAAAAGAAGTGGCCTCGCGACCATGCTTCACCGATGTCCTCCTCAGCTCTGAAAAACCGGCATCCTTTTCTGCAATTCCGGCAGGACTCGAATAGTAATATGTAAACAGCGGGGACCACTATGCCCAGAAGATGTTCGCATGCCTTACCTCCTCGAGAACGCTCGCGTAGCGCCCCAGGCCCATCCCGTCCAGCATCTCAAAGAGTCCGGGTGGGTCGCCTAACCCATCCGGTACGCCTAACCCCGTTTTCCATTTCATCCCGTCCTCCTGTGGCAGAGTGTTCTGCCCGCTTGAAATCTGTTGGGCCCCCACGTGGCCCAGACCGGCCGACGGCCTAGGCACGGCCACGTGGCTCGAAAGTGTTCCGGAAGAGGCGCGCTCTCGCCCGTTCCGTTTAGCGCCTGAGCTGTCACGACCGGGAAGATTTTCACCGTGCTCTCGTCCACGTGGACCGTGCGTACCAGGTCGAGACTGTCGGTCCGGGGGTCTGTATTCTCCTCCGCAGCCATTCCGCTGAATGTTCCGCTCGCCTTCAGCGGAATCTGGCCCAGGAGCACTGAACCGAGGCTTCGTCTTGGGGGGGTGCGGGTCCGGTCCAGCTTTCTCCCCCACCTCGGAGCTGGCCCGCCTCCACCGCTGACGTCATCTGAAACGTAGCCGCTCGGCAGCTCCTGAGTGGACTCGTGATCCTGCTCTTTCTGGGGCCCCTCGCTTTTGAACCTGGAAGTCTTGCGACTTGGCCCTTCGAGCGACTGCTTCAGAAGCGGCGAGACCCAAGGGGGCGGTGAAGCCAGGTCGGTTATCGCCACGTGCCTTTTCAGGGGATCGGGGGACGAGTCGGAGCGCGCGAGCGTCGGGCGGCTGTCCTCGCGCAGCGCCTGCAGCCCGGCCTCGTATTCGCCGTACTTCAGCAGGAAGGTCTCCATCGGTCCTTTGCCCTTGATAATGCGGCGGCCGACCTGTATTAGGACACGTGGCGGGCGCTTATTTGTTGGAAAAAGAGTGAAGCTGCTGAAAGGGTGCAGGCGAACACGAATCGTGACGATGAAAGCGCTCAGTCTCCTGAGAAGCGGTCGCATTATACCTGTAAATCTCAACCCAACCGCATCAAAGCTTCCACTTCTCGTTGGTTGCAAACATCGCTTCAAGTGGATCAGCTCCAATGTCGGACGCAAGAACAAGCTTGAATCACGAAGTCCGCTAAGTAATTCCTCAAGTTTCCTGACATGAGAGTTTGAGCCAAGCAAGACTTCTTCGTTTGAAAGAAGTTCGAGTCACCAGCCCTATCCTTGTCTTTGAAAAAAAGGGCGTCTCCCGCATAGCTCCGCAGCGTCCTCAAAGCTGCTGCACCGGTCTTTTGGTCGCTACCAGAATGGCTGCAATCTGGGCGACCGACGGGGTGCGCTGCGGGCGTCGAAGTCGCCGGCCTCACGAACTCTTTCAAGATTCCCAGTAGGATGCGCGCTCTTCAGTGACCCCAATGCTCCAAAACACAAGGACCCGAAAGCTCCGCAAAGCAAAGCTAGCTTCTCACTGGTACAAATTCGAATGCGTCGCGCAGCGCTCGTACGTCGTCATGCTGGTGTGGATGCTCATTGGGAACCCGTTGCTCTCCATGCGGCTCGCGGTGTTGACTGTGTCGCCGAAGAAACAGTAGCGCGGGCACTTCGTCCCGATGACACCTGGCCGGATAAAGTGAAAGCTTTCAGATTCTTCGAAAATTGTTGTGTGTTTCAAAGCTAGCAAATTCGTTCCGACAGG